TGCATATAAGTCCGGGCATTCTGTATGTGATTATGCTCAACAAATACCACTAAAGTGAAAACGAATAAAGCCTTACCAAGAGTTTTTGACAAGAGCACTGTTAAGTTGATAATCACCTTTGGGGAAAAAATGAGCGACAGAGTTGTCACCAGAATGTTAACCGATAGTGAAAGCAACTGAAAAAGTTGCCGACTGTAAGGATTGAGGACCACAGTTATAAATTTGGGCTGGTCAAGATGTCGAAGTAAAATTTATTCTTGAACGGTCTGATAGTTCAATTAGCCCCCGTTCAGTGCAGCGCATCATGTTTCTGGTACTATTTTCTAAGATTACTGTAATGAAAGTTGGGATCAGCTTACTGGCATTCTGGAGCCCCTTTTTGTTCCTTTAAAGAAATAATAGAAATATCATATTCTGTCTCATCTGAACCTCATCCTGTAGACCCCACTCCTGCATATCCCCATAGCAGCTCAAAAAATATCCAAGTACTGAAGATCTTCTGCACACCCCAGGCTTTACTGTAAAAGATATCCTATTAGTTTATCAGCTGGTGATTTTTTAAGAGAATCGAAGTCCAGATACAAAGATCCAAAGTCATATCGCATGGCCCTTGATCCTCATCTTCGAGTAATTCGGTCTTCGGTCAAAATTGAACGTCTGAAATATTTTAGGCGGAGCAGATGCGCCTTAAAGATGAACGTGCTAAAATTTGCAACGAGATACTGAATGGAATCAAAGTGGTAAAACTGTATGCCTGGGAACCACCAATGCAAGAAACTGTGGAGGGAATCCGACAGAAAGAACTCGCTTTAGTCCGAAAATCCGGTTTTACTAAGGCTGTCATTGATAGCTTCAATGCTGCATCGCCATTTTTTGTAAGTTTTTTTAAATCACATTCTTCGTTAGCTTACACTGCCTTGGTTAACTGCTTTTTATAGCGTGAATCTCCGGTTTAGCAGATGATAGCTTTCCCAGTCACTTTGATTAATGGTACATCAGCTGGCGGTTAGCATGCTGATGGTTCTAGCTATCGTTTCATCTCCTACGAGAGTAAGCTATGGCAAGGATTTAGCGGTCTCAACGTGCCACTGGTGGAAGTGGGGATGGGGAGGGGTGGAGGGGAGTGGGGAGGGGGTGGAGGTTGGGGGCGGGAAGCATCGCCATTCTTAGGTCACAATCAAGTACTTATCAAATTCGAGACACACACACAAAAGCTCAGGTGAACTTAGGCCCAATCATGCATTTTTCCCGTTAACATTCCTAATAGGACTAATTTCCGAATAACGGAGTGCCATCTTCCTGTGACTATGAAATTTTTCGGCATATGTGAAAACTAGTAGCAATAAACTAAGATAAAAAAGGTGATTTTAAAACAGCCGGTGAAATTTAGAACAAATTTGAAGACGGTCAACGCAGATGACATGTTTTTAAAGACAAGCTGCTGCCGAAGTTGAGCTGTTTTTGTTCAGTTTGAAGCACATTCACGAAAATTTCAGGTCGCTTTGTTAACATTTGCAACATATACGCTGACAAGCTCAGGCCATATCCTTACTCCCCAAATTGCTTTCGTTTCACTGACGCTTTTCAACCAGTTGCGCTCACCGATGTCAATGATTGCATATTTGGTAAATTTGACTGTACAGGTATGAATTCTTTTTTCTCTTGTCCCAGATTATGTCAAATTTTCCCGCACTTTATTCACTAAACTAAGTAGTCATCCGTCCAGGATCCAAATGACTATACCTGTACAGGCAGCTGACAGGGCTGTCTTTCAAGGTTTTTTCACAGATTTCTCAGAATCAAGTCGAAGCTAGCTTCTGTTCCCAGGAATCTGACGCTATAATTATGCAGTCATAACTAGGATGCTTTTTGGCGTTTCCCACGGTTTTTTGAAAGACAAATCGAAGCTAGTTTGCATGCCCAGCAAGTAAATAGTACAGCTATGCAGTCATAATGAAATATCCTA